ATTTCGTGTCGCAAGAAAATTCCGGGCGATGGCGTCAATCATCCTCTGTGGGATGGACGACGTGCAAACCCCTTAAGAGAGGTTCAAAGCGAGGAGACCGACGAATTACCGGGAAGTTTACCAATCCGATGTATTTTTTTTCGCCTGCCAATTTTTCTCCTTAGTCTCTGAAAGTGCGAGGGAGATAGATAGAGAGAGAAACAGTCGCCAAAGCGGAAGCTGATAATCTTGAAAGGGGCTTTTTAAATTGGCTCCTTTGACGCGACGCTCCTGAATTAGTTTTTCATATTCGAATAATTCTCAAGCGTTCATTCCTCTCTCTCTCTCTCTCTTAAATTACCGGAAGTTCATGTAACCAAATGGACAAAAATACCAAATACCTTCTTAATCTCCAAAACTAGAGTAACAACAATCTAAAACAAATTCAAAATCTCTTTCAAACTACTTCACCTAAATTTTACCCTGAAACAGGTAAAATACATGTCTCATCGATCATATTCAAAATTCTTGCAGGACTGATTAACCACTAATCAATCAATAAAAAATCATAAATAATCTGTTTACTATTAAATCAGGTATTTCAAAATTTCAAATTTTTTTTTTTTTTTAAATAACAGCAAATTATGTATTAAGTCGAGTTCACGCGGTTTACATAAAAAAATAAATCAATTCCACAGATAAATAAATTTCCAAAAAATGTTTCACATTGCCTATCTCTAATTTTTTTTAAATTCACAAATTGCTCAAATATCGTTATCTTTCGCATTCATCGTTCACCCTCTCCCTTCTCTACAGCTAAATTAATAATTAACCAGCGCAAAGAAAGTGTGAATTTCTCAAAAGGCTCGCGCGATCACCGTCAGATTAATGCGAGGAAATGAAATTGCTCGCTCGAGAACCTGGAAGATGGTAAAATAAAGTAATTGTTGCCATTACAGTCCGACCAACACAAAGATCCACCGAAGCCGTCATCACACAGGAACTCGCATTGTTCAAACAGCAGCGTCGGTACAGGTTCATCTACTTTGTGAGAATCCGGGCAATTACCTGGCTCCAGTATGATCGCAATTCATCGCCTCTCTTTACGGCGAATTAATTTAAATTTCTTAATTGCCAACAGCTAATTGTCTAATACGTCACGAATTTCTAACGTCCTATGAGTGCATATTAACAATATACATATATTTATACACACACTCATTGCCTTACAAATGGATTAAGAAATTTCACAAAGGCTACAAAAAAATCATATACCGGGTGTTACCACCCGTAAAGGAGGAAATAATCGGTGAAACGACTGGCGCGATGATTGTGACGTTAAACGCGCATAAATCCCCAGGCAATTAACAAATATGTATATACACATATATGTATATATATATATATGTAAATTAACGCGCAACTTTCCACCCGGGAAAGTTAACACGTCGGCCACAGGTACTAATTGTAATTACCCGGTTAAGTAATATATACGCGATAGACATGGGCATCGTTATTCCTTGAATTTCAATCCGTACAATCTAACTCCTCTCTATAAAATAATCCCACGAATTCACATTCAACCGTGTACGCCTGTGCCTAATTCCTTTTTCTTTAATCCCCACTCTTTATCCATCTCTACCATTACGTATCGTGTCATCTCATTCTTCCCGTCACTTTCCATTATGGCTATACCTATGTCTATGTGTATATATTTACATTGTACATTCATATTAATAATTAAGCTTCACTATTACACACACAGCATCCGTCCCAGTGACTGATACGTACACACGCGATGCACCTAAAGACGCATAATTAACGCTCGTAAATGGGAACTGATTAAATAAGAAAAAAATATTGGAACGGAGGCCATTGTTAATTTTCGATCATTAAATCCGTCAGCTTTTTCGCACTTCTTGTGTCTTTCGTGAGAATAATTTGCGTGGTGGCCGCTTGGCGGCGCGCGAGTCGAGGTACTGAGGATAATACAGAGGGGATAGAAAGGGGTGTCGGATCGATTCGGAATTAACACATCGAGTTAAGAATGGAAACTTAAGTATAAGCAGTGGCGGCCAGTTAAACTGGACGATTGTTACGGTTGGTACCAGTGCTGCAATATATATGTATAAAAGAATATAACAGGGGAACCGAAGTCTCACAGTATATATACGTTGTAGGTATACGAGGTTGGTACCCAACCGAGTGTCTATGGCTTCTTCGCACGATATGCCAATAAAACGTTTCCAAGGGATATCTCGCCTGTAAAATGCTAATTTCGAAAGAAGAAACGTAACGCGTTTCCAAACGAACTACAACTGCCGGGATTGTAGCCGGACGCGCGTGTATATACGGCCCTGAGATTTGCAGAATTGAAATGATGAGAAAAAAAAAGCAGAGGATTCAAGCCGAAGCGGTATAGGATAAAATGTGAAATTTTTAGTATGGAATTTGAAAATTGATCGGATATTTTTTTTTGGCTTCATTTTCACTGTCTACGTTCTCTATAGCATTATCAAGCTGTTCGAATTCTTCCCGCCAAAGGGAACCTTTTGTTCTCGACGTTTCCTTTATATTCCAGGCGTGATGGTAACTAGAAAGAATCGCTCCTACCTCGTCAAGCTGACTGTTTGACAGTAATTCCTGTTATAAATTGACGTTAATTTCGAGCGTGAAATCGAAAAGCGACGATGAGAATATTATACCCGCGGACGTGGCCTCGTATAATGAGAAGACCGTTGCCGGGGGATCAGGGTCACGTGGTGTTGTGCATTTTCGAAAAGCGAATAACGAGAATACGTTGTACGGTCGGTAAAGAAATTTACAGGGAGAAAATAGTAATACAAAAAGGTGTATATACCATCGAGGTAAACGTGACCGAGCGCGAAAATTGAGAATAATGAAAAAGCAATGAATTAAAATTGCTCGCGGCAATGCTACCTTAAATATTACCGTAACCCCCGAGATATACACGTGTTGCACGCATTACCGCTTATCCTTAAGATATTTCTAACGGAAGCTTTATCACGGCCATTACTTCTATTGTCGCAATTAACTGCAACTAATGTCAACGATATACAAAATTGCCAAGATAGCAACAGAACGGTACGCGTCGCTCGTAAATTGTGATACGAGTAAAGTGGAGCGTTTTATTTTTCATTTTTTTTTCTTTTTCAAACGTTTAGCGCGATATTCATATTTATACAGGTAATACGATAGCTTCTGATCCGTTTACTTATATCAGCATAAAAAAATAGCACGTAACGGCGAATGGGAATCTAAACGAAGGAGAGGATAAAGAATACAATACAAAATTAGATGTTGCACCTGGGTCAAGGGGTGGAGGCCGAGGAGTGGGGGTCAAGGGGCGGATACGAAACAATCGAGCGTTCGACAATTTTTCATTTGTCAAGGTTTCCTTTTTCCTTTTTTTACCCTTTCGGTCCCGCCGAGAATTTTACGTTCTGAAGGATCGATGCTAATTCTCTCCCGTGAAATCGTAAAGCAACGCGCGATTGCTTCGTAATGAGGGACCCGCGGGAAGTGCGGGGACGCCTGGCAGCTAGGCGAAGGATAAAAGTGTAAACGATCGAAAAAGTCGTTAACTGGTCGGAAATCGGTAATCACCGTTAATAATCGTCTCCTCTTACGAGTCCTTACGTTTTTGTACGGACGTGAAACTCACGAATACATCGGTACGCTTACAAAAGTCGAAGAAGAACTTTGAGCCGAGAAGAATCTCGAATCCCTTTGCCATCAGCAGCATCCCATGCTTTGTATTAATAATCGGACTCAAGCTGAGCGCATCTCATCGTAATGAGGCTATTTTTACTTAATTCATTTTTCTTCATCGAAATTCCACTTTCCTCGACGGTCCTGGTACATTTGGTTAACATGGCGTCCGAGCCCGCTCAGCATAACGCACGGTTATGGCTTAGCCATTACAATTTTGACAATTATAAGCGCCGACCCTGATTCACTACACAGTGCCTTAGATCTACGTAGAGTAACAGAATGCCGTGTACAATATATGGATACCGCATATGGTTGAATGGTGCGAATTGAGTTTTTGCAGAAATTCTTAGCGACTAATACGCAGCATTATCGCGTTAGGAAGGAAATCATTCTCGCAGCTTGAGCGCGATTCAGTAATTCAAGTTGGCCGTTTGGCCGACTGCCGAAGAGCACAGCAGAGCCATCTATCTCGCGGCGCAGCAGCACGGTAGTAAGCAGAAGGAAAGAAGGCATAATTAAATTAAATTAAAGCTACCCTTCTTGCCCCCCTTGCTCTATCGTTATTTCATCGTCCCGACGTCGGGAGAGTCAGTCGGCCGTACGACGGCGTCGTCGCCACCGCCGCCGCCTTTATTTGCAAGCAATTTGCGCTCGCGCGATCGTACCGCAAAAAATTGGAAAATAATGCAACGATATTAATCATCGTCCAGCGCTTCGTGCGCTTCGCCATTCTCTCGCCAGTCTGCATCCCCTTCTCGACCATCCCACCGAACCAGTCCTTAGTACCTTGGTCCATCTTTAACCTAATATCCGCTCACTCTTCTTTCTTTTAACGTAACGTCTTCCACGAGCGATATTAAATCATTTGAATTTCCCGCCATACAAATCCGTTTGACAGTTTATTATATACTTTTCGTTTTCTCCATTTCTTTTCCTTCCTTTGTGTAACCTGGCGAACGCTCCGACTGCGACTTCCGTTGTAATCTTCTCATTCGGTCATTTATGGCAATTGGTGAATTCGGTTACGTGCGGTGGACCCCAACCTGGTGTTCTGGCACTGAACCGGTGACATTAAGTTATGAGAACGACGCAGGTATACTATATACATATTATTAGATTATTAACGTACGCTGAATTCTCCGTTAGTACGGTAATCCGGTCTACGTGGGCAATTGGTAGGTGCGATCTCATGGAAAGTTACACGGTGAACATCCTAACTGAGGAACAATGACCTGACGTAGGTGGATGAGTAGGTACTCAGGAAAGTCTTTCTGATGACACTTTGATGATCTTTCTTTCTATTCTTTATGTACAGAAGAAAAAAGAAAAAGGAAACGGAGTATTTATAAAATTAGCAGCAAGCCAACCGTACCGATTTGAAAATAGGTCGTGACGATATTCAAAACCCACCGACAAACCGGAGGTTCATTATTTTTTAGATTTCTTAATCGGTTCCAATCCACTGTCGTACTCCGATGTGTTCAGCATCCGCACCTTCTTCAGCAAGCCCGTCTTCTGCTGTCGTTGTCCAGGACGGCCCTTAGGATCCCGACTGCCAGTGGTCACCCTCTTAGTCCTGAAAGCATCGTCAAGAGGGAACATAGGTTAATCGTCGCATTAGGGCGAACCCGCAATTTTCGGTAATTCGACGTAAACGACATGTGGTCGGTCGAGGTGCTCGCGCTGTCTGTGACCTGGGCGAGGACAGCGCGGTAATGGAAAATTGACAAAAAATGATTCGCTTTAAAGTACGGATACACCCCTGAGGTGAGTCCAGGTCGACGAGTCTGCCAACTGGCGTACCGAATCATCACCCCGAGACCATCAACCGTTTTTCTCACAAGGTAAAAATTGCCCGGCCCTTCACCCCCCCTACGCTAAATTCTCGCTCGCCAATTTTCTACTCTCGCCCGTTTTCGACGTAACGTCCGGTTTAGTCTCGGATGAGAAAGGCGCGAAAATTCAAAAAAAAAAAAAAACATCGCGCAGTCTATTTTTCATCGAACGACATATAGACCAAATATTTTCATGAGACAAAAGCAATGAGAGATATTGAAAAAAAAGGTTCAATACTTAAAATATTAAAAAAAGGGAAGCTGGCAAAGATCCAACGACGCGTACGCAACGTCGCGACGCGCTTCTACGAGATTCATTGGAGCGTCGAGGCGAAGCCCGCCTTTCACCCATTAAAAGTCACTCGCGACGAGGCGTTTTCTGCGTTCGAACGCCAGAAAACACGCCCATTCAAAATCGTATTAAATGCCACGCCAGCCCGTGGTACCCTCTCTCTGTTTACACGAGTTTGCCGCGTGCTCTCACGCACAGAAATATAAAACACAGGCAAAGCCAAAGAGACAGAAATGAAGAGAGAAAGAGAGAGAGAGAGAGAGAGAAGGAGAGAGACTGTGCGTGCACGTCGTAGAGCAGTAGAGACAGCGCGCACGTCGGTTTCCGTAAATGGCCGGGCGGCCCGGCCGGAAGTGGCGGTCGCATCAGTCTGTTTAATAGCCGTATTGTATAATTATGAACAATGGAGTAGCGCGGCGTTGGAGGGAAGAGAGAAGCAGAGAGAAGCAGGGATAGTCTGATGCAAAGGGAGAACGAGCAGACAGGTACTGTGGGTAGAGATTAGAGAGAGAGAGAAAGTGGAAGTGAATAAGTGAGAGACTAATGTAAGAGAGAGAGAGAGAGAGAGAGTATAGTGACATAGTCCTATAATCTAGAGAAGGGTCCACATATGTGTACAGGTTAAACAGAGTACATATGTGGACTTAGGGGAGGATAGAAGGAACTCGCGGATATTTCATGTGCAACGTACACCATAGTTGCGTATGGCTTATGGTTGGCAACGAGCGTAGAACATGTCCACTGTGTCATGTGTGTCGTACATGACGTATGACAGCGTACGACAATTTTGACGTCATCCCGGTCCTACCGATTGTGTCCAGGACGCTCGACAGGGATACCCCATCTACGTGTATCTGAGTATTCTATGGGCTCCAAGCAATGGTTAGCTTGGCAAGCCAGGCATAAATCCGTCATTAATAACGCGTGTGCTTGTCGTACGTGGAAGAGCAGATCAGCACGGATCTGCGTCTGGTACCAGTGAGATTGTTACGGGCAGTTATTGCGAATAACTCGGTGAGAAGGATGGCAGAAGAAAAGCGAAGAAATCGTGGAGCTGTATGGTGAAAAGGAATGGTAATTTTATGAATGTAGGTAAATTATCGTTACGGAGGGAAAATAAATAAAAATTTCTTTTACCTTTCATTCGAAAGTCTATTGTCATGTTTACGCATCGGGTCTTGGTCATTCCAGAGTTTCTTGCCGATTCCGCCTATTCTCTGTGGCGGATCACGTAGTCCAAAGCTCCTTGCGTAGTGACCGAGATGGAGCTCCTTGCGGTTGAAGATCTCCCGCATCTCGTGAGGATAACTGGAGTAGAATCGTATCCAGGATACGTAGGCTGTAACGGAAGCAGGATAAAATAGTATAGAAAATATATAAAATTTTGTAACGAATTATAAATATGGTGTGGATATTACGTGTGATTGACCTATGACCGTAGTATGTATATACTATGGATATATGAGCTACGTACATACATGCCCTTATTAATCGCGATTCCATTAGGTTACCGAGTTAGATTCTATGGGGTAAGGCGTGTACCCCTGTAGCGGGCTATTAAGGGGCATTAATGGGGTTCGAGTCAAGTGCTGTGGCTAACAGTTAACCCCCGTGTTTCCGTGCGCCTGAGAAACCGGAGGGTTCGCCGCTCCTGAGAGAAACTCGACACATGTGGAGTGACACTTTTCTATGGTTCCCCATGGTGGGGATGGATGGGAGACGTGCGAACAAAAAATTGGTCTGGTAAAAGAGCTTCTGCGGCAGGGCTGTGCGGCGTCGACTTGTAACTTGAACAGGACGTTTGGGTAACCAAGCCCCATAGATCACGAGGAAAACTAAAGGACGAGTTGGCCAACTACCCCTTGTACGATTTCTCTCTTGATCCAGCCCCCCCCCCCCCCCCAAGGGGG